AAAGGACCATGTCGTCAGCGAAGCAGAGATGGGAAATTGTAGGTCCTGTGGCCGATAACCTGACCCCCTTCCATGCCCCGCACGCCACTTCCTTGGAAATTGCCTGGCTAAGCCTTTCCATGCAGAGCACAAAAAGGGCAGGAGACATGGCGTCGCCCTGCCGAATGCCCCTTTCAGGCTTAAAAGATGCCTGTCGCGTTCCGTTCCAGACAATTTGCATATCCGCCGTCTGAACACACTCCATGATAACCCGCGCCCAAGCCTCGTTAAAACCTGCGTCAAAGAGAGTGTCATTAATAAAGTTCCAAGCAAGGCGGTCATAAGCCTTCTCTAAGTCAATTTTGATGGCCATAATCCCCTTCCTCCCTTTCTTAGTTCTCATTGAGTGCATTACTTCTTGATATACCAGAATGTTGTCCGAAATTTGCCTTCCTGGTACAAACGAGCTCTGGAACGGCCCTATTAGTTTAGGGAGAACAAACTTGAGCCTGTTTGTAATGGTTTTAGTAATCACTTTGTACAGGACGTTGCACAAGCTTATCGGCCTGAACTGCTTTATGGTTTCCGGCGACGTCACTTTCGGAATAAGGACCAATAAGGTAGCATTAAGATCCGCCGGGAGCTGACCAGTCTCAAGCACGTTCCTCACCATACTAAACACATTCTCCCCCACCGTCGCCCACTCATGTTGGTAAAAGGCCGCGTGGAAACCATCCGGGCCTGGCGCCTTCATAGGACTCATATCGAATAGAGCATTGCGGACCTCTTCTATTGTCACGGCCCTATTAAAGATCCGCCAGTCTACTATGTCAAGGTTCGGGAACAGCCCCCGAACGTGGTAAGATTGCGCACTTGAGTCATCAGCTCGGAAGAGCTTTGAGTAAAAATCTTGGACATGCTGGCACAACTTATCTGGTTCGTCCATCCAAGTTCCCCCCTCATCTTTAAGGCTCTCGATTCTGTTCCGTGTTTTTTTTACCATAGTTGCCGTGTGGTAGAACCTGGTGTTTCTGTCCCCCGACACTATCCACTCCTCCCTAGAGCGTTGATACCACGTTAATTCTTCCTGGTAAAACACTTCTTCCAGCTCCCTGCGCAGCTGCTTTTCCAATTTCCAAAGGCCTCGGTGGAAGGATTGGGCCATCCGTTTCTGAATCCCTCCTATCCGTGCCAACAAATTTCTCTTTCGCACTTCAATGCTACCAAAGGTCTCCCGGTTCCACGTTCTGAGGGCCTCCTGGACTTTCTTAATGCTCTCTTGTGGTTCTTGTCCCGGATCCCAAACCTGCCTAATCACGTCACTGAAACTATCATTAGTAAGCCAAGCGGCCTGAAACTTGAAGTTATAACTGACCTGGCCCCCGCCTGGGGTACCTGTTTGGAAAAGGAGCGGCGCGTGATCGGAACCTATGCGTGGTAAGTGCCGTACATTAGCATCCCTGAACCTCTAGCGCCAATCCACACTGCCCATGGCCCTATCCAGACGGGCCCCTTTTGCATTCGGGCCGTCAAGGCCCCTCACCCAGGTAAGCCTAGGCCCACTAAAACCCAAGTCTACCAGGCCTTCATCGTGGATCCAGTTAACGAAGCTCTCATTCCTTTGACTAGCCCAATTTGTATAGTTAGCGGTCTCCTCTGTACACGTGACTGCATTGAAATCCCCCACCGCCACCCATTCGCCGGGGATGTTACGTTTGTGTGCGCTGAGGTCATTCCAGAGCCTTTTCCTTAGGTGGTGGGCCGGACTACCGTATACGACCGCTAGGCCCCATGGATCTTCCCCGCTCTCCTGTACCTGCATTAAAATGAATTGGGGGTGAGTATATTGAATGGTAACCTTGATCGGTTCACTCCAAAAAACCCATATCCCTCCACTGAACCCAACCGCCTCGACTCTAATCCAGTCCAAAAAGCCCAGCTTTTCACAAATTCCGTCAGCGTGCGATCCCGACACTTTCGGTTCCACCAGCCCGAGCAAGTTAGGCTTGTGGACGCGGATCAGGTTCTTAAGGATGCGTTGGAAACTCCTCCCTCCAGCACCCTGGCAATTCCATATCAGACTGATCATAAAAACAACAGAGAAAGAAAGAAAGGAAAAAATCCACACCAAGCAAACAAAGCAAAGAAAGCAACGACTATGCACTCAAAGCGGAACAACTCATGGAGCGCTTAACGCCCCTTCTGCCAAACCAGCATCAAGCTCCATGACAACATCGCCCTCCTCATCAAGTCGCCGAGGTGGGTCACAATGGTGCTCCTTAGTGTTCTGCCAGACTGGAGAGGGAAGATCCTCGGCCAATCCACCAGAAATCACCCTTGTTGTTTCGACCCCCAGTCCTCCTCGCCTTCCTCTAACTACGATATGTTTATCTTCTTCTGCTGCTCTCCTCGGTGTGTTACTAATCCCCCGCCTCGGTCTGCCCGCGGCGTCAGCCACCACTATGTCCTTTCCACGCTGTCTCACCATTTGCGCTGGTCCCTTCGCACTATCAGATGGCCCTGGTTCTGCCCTATTGTCATGTTCAATTTGCTGCTTATTAGCGATAACATTCGGTCTACGCTGTCGTGCTCCGCTTGCCACCCCCTGAATATCTTTCCCATTACGCCTGCCCATTGTCCCTCCGTCCGCCTGCTCAATGTTCAGCTCAGCATCCGCTTCTCCCACCTGCTCTCCGGCCACCCCAGGTTCATCCTCTACTAGTGGTGCAAATTTAGACGCTTGGATCAACCCTCCACTTCGGTCTCTAGTCTCCTCGCCTTGGCCGGCGCCATTTTTCTGCGTTCAAACAGGTTGTCTCGGTTGATACCTCCCCTTCCGTGTAGGCGCAAGCATCCACGTCCCAAACGGGATCTTGGGATCCAGGCGCTCAGCAGTTGCATTTGGATTCCCCGCCGATGGTGCTGGTGGTGCTACATGTTCTGTCTCCCTGTTAGCTTCCATGTCACCCTCTTGGTTGTTCCCTGCTTTTGTTAGATCTGGACATGTCTCGTTCGTATGTCCATATAACCCGCATGCAAAGCAGATTAGATGCATCCCTTCGTAGGCGACATACCTCACTTTCCCCTTGTAAGTGAACTTTGAAACGAGCGGCTTCCTCATGTCCATCTCCACGCAGATTCTAGCGAACATGCCTCGCGACACCAAGCTGGTTGCCTGGTCTACCCGAACAATCCTTCCAATGCGATTCCCCAGCTTCCTGAGAAAAATATTATCAAAATATTCAGCAGGTAAATCAGGAACCCGAATCCAAACCAGAATTTTCTCCGTTGTGTCATTATACGGATCGAAGTCCGGCTCCCACAGCTTCACAATGAGGTAGTGGTCGAGGACCATCCAGGGGCCTTCATACATAGCAAACTCCAGGTCGTCTACCGATCCAAAGCGCACCAAAAAATATTCGTTCGCGATGGCGATGAGGTCCATGCTACCCTTCGGCTTCCACATGGAATATAGACGACGTTGTAGATACGCGTACCCCACCCGGCGACCCATCACCTTAATGATCAGCGCCTTTCTCCATGGTGCACGGATCGCCTCGATCTCCTTCTTCGACAATCTTATCGTGGGGCAGAGAGGGTCATCTTCCTCGTCCGCGTCTGTGTCCGTTTCGTCCGTCTCCGCAAATGGCAGTTCATTCTCCGGCTGCTGGACCTGAGAGCATCGGCCTACCACACTCTCCGCATATGTCCGTCGTGGTGCCTCCGTCGAGCCGGCCACCACTGGGATCTCCTCTAACGACGCTGATCCGCCATCCTGATATGCCTCTACCGGGTGACCAGCAGCTATCTCCATCATCATCTCCGCAGGCGTCTCATGCACGATCTCCACGTCGTTTCCCTCCTGCGGCTCAGAATTCTCACCACCCTCCGGCGATCGAGGCCGCATGGCACTCTGTTTGGGTCTCTTGGTACTCCGTGACAAAAGATCTTGATCCTCAGAGGATCTCGAGGACGAGAGAGTTTCAGAGCTCTCCATTCATACGTTCTTACTCTATTCATATGATAACAACATAGGAAACTAGCTAGCTTCATAAGTGAGTACTTTAATCCAAAAGAAAATCTTTATTCGCAATTATTTCCAACAAAAATAAATTCAGGATATTTTAATTTATTTCAAGATTAATCCAAGGCATTTGTCATTCACACTTTTCTTACAATTGATTAGCTTCATCTTGAGAGAGTGATAGGAGTGTTGAAGCGTCATTTCTAAAGATACAATGGATTACTATGACTATATTTGAACAGTCAACTAAATCATACATAAATAAATAAATAAATACATAAAGAACACTTCGAATTTATACATATGTGTTGGCAGAAACTTTGTGAGAGTAGAGAGATTTCGAAAGAATGAAAACCAAAGAATTTGATGTGCCAAAATTTCTAAAACATAATACCCAACAAAAAGTCTTTATATGAAATTATAAATTCATTAGCATTCATCACATTCAAAAACGATAATTAAAATCCAATAAAGTAACTCCCATAACTGACAAATAAATTTAAATAGATCAAATGCTAAAAAGTTAATTCTCTGTTGAGTTAGTTAATGATCAAAATAGTCCCTCGACTATGTTGTAATTACCAATTTGGTTCTCGACTATCATTCTTACACGATTTAGTTCTCAACTCTATAAAATTTACCCAATTTAATTCTCGATTAAATTTTCTGTTTGTTGAACGTTAAAATTGAAGGCAAAATTGTCATTCTACAAGCTTTCTTCCTCCTCCCTATTAAACAACGCCAACCACGCAACAGTAGTTCATAACCACAAATTTTCACTCGATCTTTTGACTTTAAATTAAATCTTTAATCTTACATTTTAAACGTGTTTGCATGGTACAATGCAAGTGTACTAGCTAGCATTAGAGTGCCCAAAAGTGTGGAAGAAGCATGTATGAAATTAAATCACAATACAATTACCGGGACCAAACGTAATCCATCTCGATCTCTATAAATTCATGGCAAAGCGAAGATTAAATTCATTATTGAAGTTTTAAAAAAATGGCTAGTTTTCGTGTTCACGTGTTTGCCTTGGCTTTGCTTGCGAGCTTTTTTAACTCGGTGCACTGTTTACCTCCCCCTGATATACCAGCATTGTTTGTGCTCGGAGACTCGTTGTATGATGCTGGCAACAATAACTACATTACCACTACCAATGATTTCAAGGCTAATTTTCGACCATATGGCGAAACATATTTCCCTGTCCGCCCTACTGGCAGGTTTGGAGATGGTCGCCTCATTCCTGATTATATTGGTACGTACTATACGTCTTTTCACTTTAAAACTTTCATTTATATATATATATATATATATATATATATATATATATATATATATATATATATATATATATATATATATACAGAGTATATATATATAAAAGTGCCCAGGAGGGAATATGCGAACGAATCCTCGCGCGACATGTGTCCAGATCTAATAGATTAAAAAAAATGTGGTGGCATTTTCGTAAATAATTGAACATCGAAGTGCAATTAAAATCACTTACAAGTGCACCTACTTTCACAAGTGCATGTAATTTTGCCTTGTTAACATTCACTTCCCGCAAACATTCATGCACCTGGGTGCACCTACTTATAACTATAGGTGCACCTACTTTCACTTATAAGTGCGTGTAATTTTGCCTTGTTAATATTCATTGATCTAAGTTCAGCAGGTAGTAATACCCCTGAAAATCACCCGCAAATATTCATGCACATAGGTGCAACTACTTATAACTATCTGTGCAACTACTTAGAACTATAGGTACAACTACTTATAACTATAGGTGCACTTAGTATTGATGCTCAGTGTAAATTTTTATTTGCACCTATAATACATTTTACATGCACCTATAATACATTTTACTTACACTTCGATGTTCAATTATTTACGAAAATGTCACCGCACTTTTTAAAAAAATCAGTGTTTTTTTTTTTTTTTTTTTTTTTTTTCTATTAACTCGCCTTATTTATTTGGTTAAAGCCAACTTTGCAAGGAAGCCATTCGTGCAGCCATATCTCGCAATCAGGAATCGACCGTTAGGTCGATTTATCAATGGCATCAACTTTGCATCAGCTGGTGCCGGTAGTCTTGATGGAACCAATGCAGGCCTGGTACGTTATTTTTTTTGGTAGGACCTGGTACGTTATTAAAGCAGTTTTTTCAATGAACTTTAAAAAAGAAAACGAATTACACCGTGCTTTTAAAGGTCATTTTGCATGTAATCAGCTAACAGCTAATTTATTAAATATCTTTTTCTACAATCAGCTAATGCTATAAGTTAGTCAAACTCACTAACATCTATCAGCTAACAACTATTTACCAAACACCCCATAATATGTCAATTATATATACGAGTTTTGGTTTGGGATCCACCATCAAAAGTAGACCCTAGTACATGGTATAACAATTACTCCTTAATATTGGGCATCGGACGGGTCGGTCGAGTTCAGCCCTTTCATCGATTCGAGACGTGGTACTGTAACTTACCATAAAGTGATGTGATTAAATGGTTAATGTCCACCTACTTATCACTAATTGATTTTAAGAAGGCCAGGTATGACAATCAAATAATTAAACTCCGTGAATCGTGCTTGACTTACAGCGAACCGTGGTTAAGCATGCTTAACTTATAGGATGTGACGTACTGAGAAGTGAACATAGTTCAGCGCATTAACTATACTAAATGTCATAAGTTTAGATGACAGGATGGTGCACTTAATTGACAATCTGATCAGCTAATATAATTACATGCTTGATCCTCACAGGTAATTTCTTTTAAAGCACAGCTGAGAGATTTCAAGAAAGTCTCACAACAACTGAAGCAGCAGGTGGGGAGTGTCAGATCAAAACGACTGATCTCTAATGCTGTCTACATGTTTAGCATTGGCAGTAATGACTATAGCGCTTTCATAACCAACTCCACCCTTCTAAATTCATATACCCCCAACCAATACGTAGATATGGTGGTTGGTAACATGTCAACTGTTTTCCAGGTGATGTATATATTAATTTACAGTTGATCTACAAAATATTATAGATGGATCAGGGAAATGTGAGTGTTAATTACTTTTTTTTTTCTATATTTTAACAGGAAATATACAAGGAAGGAGGAAGGAAATTCGTTATTCTCTCGGTGGGTACTATAGGATGTGTACCATCTGCTAGGGCTGTTAGTAGTGGTGAATGTGTGGAGGTTCTCCAAACCTTGGCCAAATTGCATAATGAGGCTCTACAAAAAATGCTCAACAATTTAGTCAGGAATTTACCAGGATTCAAGTATTCCTACTTTGATTATTTCCAATCTTCCACAGATACAATTAGTAATCCATCTAAATATGGTAAGTTTCATTTGTCGCAGTAAAATTCATAAAACTGCTCAAAGTAGCTTTTTCGATAAGTTTTTTTTAGAAAAAAGTCATTTTGCATGTAATCAGCTAACAACTAATTTACCAAACATTTTTCTACAATCAACTAATGCTATCAACTAATCAAACTCATTAACCAAATCTACTAACAATAAATAACTATTTACCAAATACCCCTGATCTCAAACAAGACTAACTATATTTTTATTCTTTTTAATGTTATAAGGTTTCACGGAGGTGAAAGTTGCATGTTGTGGCAGTGGTCCATTTAGAGGAGATCCAAGTTGTGGAGGAAAAAGAGGAATGACATCTTTTGAGTTATGCCCAGATGTCCAAAACTATTTGTTTTTCGACTTCACTCATCCCACTGAGAAGGCCAACCTTCTTTCTGCTACACAAATGTGGGAGACAAGCCCCTATGTTAAACCTAACAATGTCAAGTCCTTTTTTCAATCCTAGTAATCAAATAAATATGCCACTAGAATCGCTAGTTAATTAGTGGTTCGTTCAGTACTTTGAGTGGTTAATTATGATAATAAATAAAGAGGTTGAATAATATGTACACCTACTACGTTATATAAAGTGTGATCCTACTTGTGCTTATTATAATTGTTGAAGACAATAAAGAGAACTTAGGATGTGTTTCTTTGGGGACTTTTGCACCCTATTATAAGTTTTCATATCTATTACTATGTTTGTTTGTCTAAGTTTTTTATCCAATTTGAAATCAAATCCTTTATTAATTAATAATTACAAAACTCATTACTCTTTTTTACTTTTGAACAATTAAATAAAAAATAAGGGAGAAAAAAATGAGAAGAATAAAAAGGTCATTGTTTATGCATTATATATGGAATTTTAATATATATATATATATATATATATATATATATATATATATATATATATATAAACATATATGTAGTTATCAAAAAAAAAAACATATATGTATGTATTTATATTTGTGTTATATATTTTTATTAATTTTTATTTTAATTAATTAATTTTTTTTTTAATTTCAATTCTTATTTACTACCAAATAAAATGATTCACTCTACTCAAAGCTATTACCATTACCAAGTATTTGATTCACATTACTATTCTCATTCTAATATTTGAACCAAATACACCCATATTTTTCTTCTGTGTTGAATGTACTTACTTGTGTTTGAGTGTTTCAGAATGGATAGACACATGCCAGTAGAATTAATGGGGGCTAACTAAGCCTACTGGAAAGCCCGCACCAAAATGCACATCAAGACCCAAGGTGAAAGTGTATGGAAATCTGTATTAATTGGATGGGAGGTGCAGCAGAAAATGATCCACCTGTGCCAAAGCCTAAACTTGAATGGATAGTGGCCGAAATTGCGTTGGCTAACTACAACAACAAAGCTTTGGGTACTATCTTTTCTCTAATGCATGAGAGCCCATTAACAGCCCCGTTCTTTTTACTTTCGAGCCTAGTATAAATAATAACTCAGGCAATTTATATCCTACATCACGGCGTACATTGCACTATGCGCCCAGATGCAAAACAACGTCGTTTTAATTATTTTTTTTTTTTGAAATTTCCCGCCCCAGTGAATGGCAGTAGGCTTTTCTTTAAAAAAAAACCCGCTGTTCAAGAATGTACATAATGTTATACTTGAATACACATAATGTTATACATGAATACACATAATGTTATAACAAAATATACATACTCTTTTTAAAAGATAATACACATAATCTAACATAATACATAATAAACATAAACTTTTAACATAATACACATCAACTCTTAACATAATACACACAAATTTTCTGATTCGGATGTACATAATTGTATAAAAAATACACATAACTGTATGAACCAATACACATAACGTTGTGAACGAAAACACATAATCTCAGCAACTTCCTACCGCGCCTCCCAACACGACCCCAAAACGACGTCGTTTTGGGAGGCGCGCGGCGCACAGTGCTATGTGCGCCGTGGTGTAGGATATAACAATTGAATAACTCATGCTTGGGTTGAAAATGGATTTTTGTTCACATAACATTTATGCACATTTCACAGAAATGAGTCGTCACACTCCCGAGCCTCCCGAGCCACGCGAACCCACGAGTCATGGACCGAACCAAACCAAACCTCGAAGCTGAACCACAAGGGCCCTGTGCCGAGTTCGTGGCCGTGCGGAGCTTAGTGGCGAAACTGGGGAGTTCCGCCACTACCTTCCGCAACGCCACAGCGCAGAGTGGCGGAATTCCAAGGTGTCCACCACTCTGAGCCCTTTTCTCTGGCGGAACTAGCCAGCGAAACTATCCAGTTCAGTGGCTAGTTCCACCAGGCAACACTGCCTAACGAGGCAGTAGCTCTTTTGAGCTTTGACTGAGATGTTTCCATGGTGGAATCTCCATTTCAGACCACAACAAACCTCCAAACTTCACCCAACAACATTCCATAACATCAAGACATCATCATCATCACATTATAGGCACATAACGACACATTTATCTCTATTTCTAAACATCGCCACATTATACACAACACACAATATCATTCACAGCACATTAGGGCAAAACTACTAAGTTTTGGAAATCCATGAGTTATACATCAAGCTTCTAGACCCAATAAGCTAAGCAAGATTTTCTTCTCTATAACCTCAAGCTTGGTCTCCTTCTTCACCATCTAATTAAGACTCTAAGACCACACAAACAACAGCACATATACAAATACACATTCACTCTGAGAAGTTAGGAAGAAGAGAAATGAAGGAGAAAATGAAGAAAGAAGAAAATGGAGAAGAAGCTTACTGTCAAAATCTCTAGCAGCTTGAAGTGCTCTGCCTGATGAAATGAAGGAAAGATAGAGGAATGAAGAGACAAAGCTACACTAGTGATATGATGTTTAAATAGTGGGACACAAAACCCTAGATGAGAAAATATACACGGCTGATATATTTTGAATAGGAGATTTCAGACTAAAACTTTGAGTTATAATTTTGAGTCAAAAGCTGGATCAATATCGAATAGAAATATGATACAATAAATATAGGAATAAGTTGGGTTCATTTTCGCAAATTATGTTGTGGACTCGTGTTCACAATGCATTGTGGACACGAGTCCAAAACGACGTCGTTTTCAGTGACAACGCAGTCTTCCAGTTAAAAAAAAAAATTGATTTTGTCTCGCCGTTAACGGCGTTATTCGTTTGTGGCATTATGAATGTACAGTTATGGAATTATGAATGTACAGCTATGGAATTATGAATGTAAGTCATGGAATTATGAACACAAAGCTCTAACATTATGAACTTACAATTATGAACATATAGCTCTAAAATTATGAACATAGAGCTCTAAAATTGTGAACATAGAGCTTCGAAAATTATGAATTTACAGTTATTGAATTATGAATGTACAGTTACGGATTATGAATGTACAGTTATGCAATTATGAATGTACTGTTATGGAATTATGAACACAGAGCTCTTACATTATGGACTTACAATTATGAACATATAGTAATAAAATTATGAATAAGCTCGTCTAGCTTAGTTGGTAGAGTGCACGGCTCTTAACCTTGTGGTTGTGGGTTCAAGTCTCACGGTGGGCGTTTCTTGTAGTTTTAGTATTTTTAACCTTGCATGTTGTGGACACGAGTCCAAAACGACGTCGTTTTCAGGTAAAAAGCGGCCTTTCAGTTAAAAAAAAATTGATTTTGTCTCGCCCTTAACGGCGTTATTCGTTTGTGGCACTATGAATCTACAGTTATGGAATTATGAACACAGAGCTCTGACATTATGAACTTACAATTGTGAACATATAGTGATAAGTTATGAACATAGAGCTCTAAAATTGTGAACATAGAGCTTCGAAAATTATGAATTTACAGTTACGGAATTATGAATGTACAGTTACGGAATTATGAATGTACAGTTATGCAATTATGAATGTACAGTTATGGAATTATGAACACAGAGCTCTGACATTATGAACTTACAATTATGAACATATAGTAATAAAATTATGAACATATGCTCTTATAATAAAGTGGTATGAAATTTAAAAAAAAAAATAAAAAAAAATGATGGAAGATAACGGTGCCGTTAGGCACCGTTACCGCGTCCACAATGCTTGCTGGACACGGGTCCATAGCATAACGATTGGTTCATTTTGAAATCGAGTTAAACTAGTCTATCAATTTCTCAGGTTCCTGTCAGATAGACTTTTGGGTCAAGATTTTGATAAATAAATATATTCCTTAAATAGGGCTTTTAAAACCATAAATATTTATATAAATATTTGGTGTTGAATCATTTGAATTAAACAATTTGAATTGTTAACATTCAGTATGTAAATTGTGAATATTTAGTATATAAAATTGTGAACATTCAGTATGTAAATCGTGAACATTTAGTATATAAAAACTGTGAACGTTGGATATGTAAATTGTGAACATTCAGTATATAAATGGTGTATTTTTGGACACGGATCTACCTTGCAATGTGGACCAGATCCATAGAATAATTTGCCAACTTTAATCTCCATTGAAAATGAACTTTTGGAAGAAGTTGATATCAAAAGTTTGGTAAATAATTTTGCGTCTAAATGTGTGCACGGAGCATGTCACTTTTTAAATAAAATTTTAGATGTATTTTTATACAATATTTATATTTTGATACAACTTTTTGAACAACTATTATTTATATATAAAAATTATTTGAAAAAAGGACCTCATATTACACAGGACCCTAATTTTTATTGGAACCTGCCATGCTTGCTGCTTAGCAAGCTTTCCTTATTGTCTTGATTTTTAACTGCTTGATGTATATAAGAAGTAAGAACTAGCTTGCTGCCATACTCTCTTGCAGTTCTAAAATCCTCTTACAGCTTCAAATCTTTACTGTGAGTCTCACTATTATTGTAACTACTGCTTGCTGCTTCTCTATTCCTGCTGCATTATATTGCTTATTCCTTGGCATAAAGCTTTGACAGCATATTTAATACTCAAGGAAATTTTTGGTAGTTCTAAAATCCTAACTTTTTTACACTTTCCATCATCAAAATCTATCTAATAACATTTTATTCCATCCTAACAGCATTAAGTGAAACTTGTAAAATAATTAAAAATTCAAGCTCAATATTATGCGTAACAAACCTTCAAAATAGACCAGAAGATTATGCAAAAGTGTGAGAATTATGACACTACTAGAAATTATGGAATTTCCAACCACCTAAAAGTGATCTTAAATCAAGTCGAAAGCTTGTTCCGACCACTTTTGGTATCCGGAAAACCTTTGTTGCTATTTCCGACCACTTTTTGCTTTCAACTTGATTTAAGATCACTTTCAGGTGATCGTAAATTCCATAATTTCCAGCAATGTGAGTTTGTCAAAGATACTAGTTCAAGTTTAAACCTAGTGCGGCTAGCAATTCATAACCATAAATTTTCACGTACTCGATCTTTTGACTTTAAATTAAATCTTGAATCCTACATTTTAAAGGTATTTGCATGGTACGAGTGTACTAGCTAGCATTAGTGTGCCCAAAAAGTGTTGAAATTAAATCAAAATACAATTACCTGGACCAAAGGTAATCTAGCTCGATCTATATAAATTCATGGCAAAGAGTAAATTCAATTCAGAATTGAAGTTTAAAAATGGCTAGTTTTTGTGTTCACGTATTTGCCTTGGCTTTGCTTGCCAGCTTTTTAAAGTCGGTGCATTGTTTATATCCGCCTAATAAACCAGTATTGTTTGTGTTCGGAGACTCGTTGTATGATGCTGGCAACAATAACTATATTAACACTACCAATTTTTTCAAGGCTAATTTTCGACCATATGGCGAAACATATTTCCCTGTCTGCCCTACTGGCAGGTTTGGAAATGGTCGTCTCATTCCTGATTATATTGGTACGTCTTCACTTGAAAACTTTCATTTTTATGTATATATATCTTTTCAATTTTAATAACTCGCTTCTCTCGCTTGTTTATTTGGTTAAAGCCAATTTTGCTGGGAAGCCATTTGTGCAGCCATATCTCGAAATCAAGAATCGACTTAACGGTCTATTTATCAATGGCGTCAACTTTGCATCAGCTGGTGCCGGAAGTCTTGATGCAACCAATGCAGGCCTGGTACGTTATCTTTTTTAGACTAATTAGGCAAATTATAGCATGGATTAGCTAGGGTTCACCTTGCATTCTAAAAATTAATTAACAATACCAATCAAATTATGTGTGTATAGTTAATAGAACACAAATTAATATATTTACAAGACACATAAATTTTTTTTGCCTTATTATTATTTGTTTTGTTGTTATTTGGTTCATGGTTCCACCTAGATCTTGGTTCCCCTGTTCCTTGGTCGGTTGTACTCAGTCCACCAAACCCACCTAGACCCTTACTTTGTTCCCCTGTTCTTGGTTCCAAGTTAACCTAGTCCTCCGATCCCAGGACCAATTTCAACAAATTATTCCATCCCTTATTTGGGATGGGATTCAATCTTGAGACCTTCCAAATGAAAATCAACAGTTATGCCATCAGACTAGAAGATACTTCACATAATTCATTTAATGAAAACACAATTTTGGCTTGTTTGACTACTATTAGCGGTTTAACTTGGTTAAATAGTCAATATAACTGTGTTGTTAATAAGTTTTTTTGTCATAGCTTATTGCTCCAAAACGCTAAAATTCAAAAAGCTACTTAAAACAACTTTTTCGATAAGTTTTTTGAAAAAATAAATTATATCGTATCCTTAAAGGTTACTTTGCATTTAATCAGCTATATATCAACTAATTTATCAAACATCATTCTACAATCAGCTAATGCTATAAGCTAGTCAAACCCACTAACATCTATCAACTAACAGCTATTTACCAAAATCCCATAATATGTTAACTATAGTCACACAAGTTTTGGTTTGGAGTCCACCATCCAAAGTAGATCCTAGTGCATGGTATAACAATTACTCCATAATATTGGGTGTCGGTCGGCTCAGTCAAGTTCAGTTCCTACTCGATTCGAGACGTGGCACTATGACTTACCATGCAAGGATGTGGTTTAATGGTTAATGTCCACCTACTTATCACTAGCTAATTGATTTTAAGAAGGCCGGATATGACAATCAGATAATCAAATAACTCCGTAATTAAGCGTGCCAGACTTATATAGGGTAACTGACCTACTGAGAACTAAGTAAACATAATACAACTTAACGAACCGTGATTAAGCGTGCTTGATTCACAGGATATGACCTACTGAGAAGTAAACATAGTACAACACATTTACCACTACACTAAATGTATGTTATAAGCATAGACATTACATTTAGATGATAGGATGGTGTACTGTAGAATACAAACAAATAAAGGGAAAAACTGATATATTATGTCTTGTCCATAAACCTCAATACAAGCACTTTATTTATAGTGACATCAAGATATTGAAAATAAACACCCCCCCCCCCCCCCCCCCCCAAGTTGGAGCATGCAGATTTGAAATGCCCAACTTGCGAAGAAGAAATTCAAATTGCCTTTGCCAAAGAACCTTTGTGATGTGTTATCAGCTAATTGCGAATTGGTAGGAATGTAGGAAGGGAAAATCAAACCATCTTTAATTGCATCTTGAACAAAATGACAATCCACTTCAATGTGTTTTGTTCGTTCATGAAAGACCGGATTCTTTGCAATATGAAGAGCCGATTGACTGTCACAAAACAATTTTATAGTTTTGGGATGATGAACCCCTAGACTTAATAGCAAGCTCTCTAATCATTTGAGTTCACAAGTAACGGCCACCATAGATCTGTATTCCGCTTCTGCGGAAGAACGAGAAACAATATTTTGTTTCTTTGTTTTCCACGAGATTGGAGAATGGCCAAGAAATACCAACGAACCAGTAAGAGATTGCCGAGTAGTAGGACATGCGGCCCAATCCGAATCACACCATTCCTATAGCGTTAGATCACTGTCTGCTCGTAGGAGAATTCCTTGACCCGGGGTACTTTTCAAATAACGGACAACTCTCAGAGCTGTCTCCCAGTGCTCATCATGTGGTTCCTGCATGAATTGAGACAACACATGAACAGATCGAGTACGTGAGATCCGGTCGGGTTACGACAAGTAGATAAGCCTTCTGACAAGACGCCGATATGCTCCAGGATTAACTGGCAATCTGATCAGCTAATATAATTACATGCTTGATCCTCACAGGTAATTTCTTTTAAAGCACAGCTGGGATATTTCAAGGAAGTCTCACAACAATTGACGCAGCAGGAGGGGAGTGACAATTCAAAACGACTGATCTCTAAAGCTGTCTACATGTTTAGCATTGGCAGTAACGACTATAGCGCTTTCATAACCAACTCCACCCTTCTAAATTCATATACCCCCAACCAATACGTAGATATGGTGGTTGGTAACATGTCAACTGTTTTCCAGGTGAAATTAATTTACAGTTGATCTACAAAATATTATAGATGGATAAGGGAAATGTGGGTGTTAATTACTTTCTTTTTTTTTTTTTTCTATATTTTAACAGGAAATATACAAGGAAGGAGGAAGGAAATTCGTTATTCTCTCGGTGGGTACTATAGGATGTGTACCATCTGCTAGGGCTGTTAGTAGTGGTGAATGTGTGGAGATTCTCCAAACCTTGGCCAAATTGCATAATGAGGCTCTACAAAAAATGCTCAACAATTTAGCCACGAATTTACCAGGATTCAAGTATTCCTACTTTGATTATTTCCAATCTTCCATTGATACAATTAGTAATCCATCTAAATATGGTAAGTTTCATTTGTCGCAGTAAAATTCATAAAACTGCACAAAGTAACTTTTTCGATAAGTTTTTTGAGAAAAAAATCATTTTACATATAATCAGCTAACAGCTAATTTACTAACATCTTTCTACAATCAGCTAATGCTATCAACTAATCAAATTCATTAATCAAATCAGCTAACAATTAATAACTATTTACCAAACACCTCTAATCTCAAACAAGACTAACTATATTTTTATTCTTTTTAATGTTATAAGGTTTCACGGAGGTGAAAGTTGCATGTTGTGGCAGTGGTCCATTTAGAGGAGATCCAAGTTGCGGAGGAAAAAGAGGAATGACATTTTATGAGTTATGCTCAGATGTCCTGAACTATTTGTTTTTCGACTTCGCTCATCCCACTGAGAAGGCCAACTTTCTTTCTGCTACACAAATGTGGGAGACAAGCCCCTATGTTAAACCTAACAATGTCAAGTCCTTTTTTCAATCCTAGTAATCCAATAAATATGCCACTAGAATCGCTAGTTAATTAGTGGTTCGTTCAATACTTTGAGTGGCTAATTATATATGATAATAAATAAGAGGTTGAATAATATGTACACCTACTACGTTATATAAAGTGTGATCCTAGTTGTGCTTATTATAATATAGTTGAAGAGAGAAAATTTTAATTTTGGTTATATGACTATAGTAGCTTTGTTAATTTCAGCACTTGACTTTTAAAAGTTTCAATTTGGTACCTTGACTATGCGATTCTTTTCAATTTTGGTCACTCCGGTCAAATTGCCGGTAAAATTTTGCCAAAAAATTTTAACAGTTAAAATAGTGAGGATATTTTAGTCATTTCACATCTCTTTCGTTCTTCTCTGACAAATTCATCTTTTTCGGCGAATCCGGGGATGAGGTGAGCTGTGATGCTTTCAACATTATCCAAAAAGAGAAGTATTTATTCAATATCAATTATAACATAATGTTGATATAGAGAAGTTTTAGAATAAATAGGTACCAGCATCACTTTTAGCATTTCGCTTTCTTTTCCGAGCAAGCCTTTTTTTGGCCGGAAAAGCTTTCAACCAGAATTTTGGCAAGAACTACGCTGGACTAGCACAAAGAGAAGTGCAGTTCGAAGATTTCTAGGTCCACCGATATCTCAAACTCCCCTTACACAAACGGTCAAATGTTTTCAACCGGAATTTTGGCCGTCTGAACACTAATAAATCGTCGACGAAGGCTTGGACGAATGAGTTTAAGTATGTTTTGGAAGGTGTGCTGCTGCGACGGATTCGCCGGAAAAAATGAATTCGCCGGAGAAGAAGGAAGAGATGTGAAATGACTAAAATACCCTCAGTATTTTAACTGTTAAAATTTTCCGATGAAATTTGGCCGGCAATTTGATCCGAGTGACCAAAATTGATAAAAATTGCATAGTCAAGGTACTAAATTGACACTTTTGAAAGTCTGGTACTGAAATTTAACAAAGCCCCTATAGTCATATGACCAAAATTGAAATTTTCTCTTGTTGAAGACAATAAAGAGAACTTAGGATGTGTTTGTTCGGGGACTTTTGCACCCTATTATAAATTTTCATATCTATTACTATGTTTGTTTATCTACGTTTTTATCATATTATTGAAATTAAATCCTTTATTAATTAATAATTACAAAACTCATTACTCTTTTTTACTTTTGAACAATTAAATAAAAAATAAAGGAGAAAAAAATAAAAAAATAAAATAAAAAGGTCATTGTCTATGCATTAAATATGGAATTTTAATATATATAAACATATATGTATGTATATGTATGTATGTATGTATATATATATATATATATATATATATATATATATATATATATATATATATATATGTGTGTGTGTGTGTGTGTGTGTGTGTGTGTGTGTGTTATATATTTTATATTTTTATTTATTTTATTTTAATTAATTAATTTGTTTTAATTTCAATTCTTATTTACTACGAAATAAAATGATTCACTTTACCCGCCAAACACTTTGTGCTTAGATGGCATGTAGTGACCTCTTCCATGTAGAAGGTCATGAGATTGAGCCTTAGTGGAGGCGTTGTTGACTACAAAGTATTTGATTCAAATTACTACTCTCATTCTAATATTTGAACCAATAAAACCCATAGTTTTTTACTCTCAGTGGATAAAATTGTAGCATCATTAAAATATAAAGGTGCATGTAACTGATATACAGATATCAAGTGATGAAAGAATGATGAGGTTGGACTTGGTTGACTATTTATCCTCTATGTCATTTTTAGGTTGAATGCTAATCCATTTTTATTAGTGGTAACGGATTGCACTAAGGTAATCTAGGTGCTCTTGTGATCAACTATACACAATATTCTAATAAGCTAGTAAACATGCTCCCATTACAATTAGCAAGTTAATAGGCACAAAAGCAATCGAATAACCAATCCTTATACCATGAACTAGGGTTCACAGTGCATTGTAGATCATGATGCATGTGTATTTGTCTAATGTTGAGTTTTTGTGTATTGTATTATGAAATTTTGTACTTTAAGAATATGAATTTTGTACCTGAAACAAATTAGTAGTTGTGTCTTATGTACGTTGTGAAATTATGTGTCTATGAACACAAATTATGTACCTAAATCAGATTTGAAAAATAAGCCAAGTAATTAAATATATAACATGTATATGTGTCTTGTGTTGTGATTTTTTGTCTTTGAAATTATGTACCTTACATGTATGAATATTGTACCTTGTCGTTTTGATTCAAGATTAATAATGCTATACAGAACTTGGTCCATGATATAAATTGCCTCGAATGAATTTATATGTTGTAAAGAATAAGTGCAATATAGATTTTGATGTGTCAAAGTCTCAAATAGGATAAGTAATTAGACCCCAAATTTTTTTATTTTGTAAGTCTCGAAATACGTTGCAAGATTTTGCTAAGTGTTGACTTTAAGGAAGTTTACATCAAGAGCTTGGTGTTGATGTCATGGTGAAGTGACCAATGGCAAAGGTTGGTAGCAGAATAAGTTTGCCTAGCAATGAAGCTTTACCAGCAACACAAGTCTAGATCTTAACGTGAATGCTCAATCAAGCAGCATGAGTTTTGAGCAGTATGAGTAGCATAACTTCTGAGGACTAATCATAGACATCCATCAAGGCTCTTCAATGGTCAGAGATATAATATAAAAAAATACATGGTCAATTTTATAATTATTATAAACTTTTAAGTTTCCAATGTTTATAAAATTGACACGTCCTTTTTTCAGTTATTTTTAAGAAACTATGGACTGTTGATCTGCCTAAATGGATATATCAGTTTAGTCGTTACTCTTTACTATGAGAATGTTCTCACCTGAACCCCCCTCCCCAAACACAGACACACGGACACACAGACATATATAGTATTGAGATCAAATGAGAACTACTCCTCCAATGAGATCGAACGTGAGAACTATTCCCATCCGTCCATCTAAGATGATCAATGATTGATTTTTTTTTTTTAATGCAGTAACATTTTTGTAATTATAGTTGCGCATTTGAAAAATTAATTGATAGTGATCTGAGTTGGGAGACAAGTTTACAAATGCACAATTAGACATTACAAGATATACAATCGTAATTTCATAATTTCATAATTAGAGAAATAACACTGCATTTTTTATTATACAAATAGATGACAGTGTGTTTGGACAATGTTTTCAGATGCACAATCAGTTATTCACGAATGCACAATCAGTTATTCACGAATGCACAAATCATGCATTACAAGATGCACAGTCATTACAAAAATGCTTACTGCATTTTATCTTAATTTTCAAACCCTTAGATCATCTTGATGAGATTTGTAAAGACATCAATATATATAGTGTTTTATTTTCATTGATGCATATAAATGCAATTGAAAGCTAGACAAATTCGAAAAAGGATTTCACATTGTATGGGTAGACAAGATTGTGGTCTCCATTCCAAAGCAATTTAGCAGACATCAAGTTGGACTTCTCAGTAGGGTGACCATTATCAAAAAACAAATAATCTCCAACATCTTTGCATAACTCATACTCTTTTAGTTGTCCCCTTTTACCTCCACAGCTGTTCAATCCTCTGAAAGGACCACTACCGCAACATGCTGTCTTCGTCTCTTTGAAACCTTAACCATACAAAAAAAAAAAAAAAAAAAAAAAAAAAAACATAAATCTTATAAGTATTTAATTATGAGCATGTGGTAAGGGGAAAGATGAGCTAGTTAACACATTAACGTACCATTTTTGGAAGGATTGTCAATTACATTTGTTGCAGCCGTGAAAAAATCAAAATATGAATACTTAAATCCTTGTAATGTCTTCTCCAGCTTGCTGAGCTTTCTGGGTAAAGCCTTATTGTGCATCTTCACCCAGTCATTGAGTTCCTTCAGACAGCCACTACTATTCGTCTGTTGAAGCTTTAGAGCCCTAGAAGATGGGGAGCAGCCTAAAGGTCCCACAGACAGAATCACAAATTTCCTTCCTCCTTCCTTGTATATATCCTACATATATTATATTGGTTGAAATAAATAAGCACTATTTTTGTCACACTTGTGTGAGACTATATTACAAATCCATATCCGTGAAACGGGTTAGGTCCAGATGAAATATAATACTTACATTAAAAAATATAATATTAATTAGGAATAAAGTCTTTGTCGTTACTCATATGAGAAAGTGTAATACTTTTGATGAAGATGAAAAAGTATTACATTTTTCCTTATAAGTAACAAACGCTTTGTTCCTTATTAGTATTACACTTTTCAGTATAAGTATTACATTTCATCTGGACTCAACCCGTCTTACGGACAAGGATCCGTGCGTGAGACGGTCTCACACAAGTTTTTTGGGATGTTTGGTAAATAGTTGTTAGCTGATTGGGTTAATGGAATTAACTAGTTGATTGCATTAGCTGATTGTAGAAAGATAGATTCGATGTTTGGTAAATTAGCTATTAGCTGATATATAGCTGATTACATGCAAAATAATTTTCTCAAAAAGTTGATCGGAAAAGTTATTTTGAACAACTTTTTGAATTTTAACGTTTTGGAGCAATAAACTGTTATAAAAAAAGCTAATTAATCAAACAATTATATTGACTGCTTAACCAATCCAAATATCTAATAATGGTCTAATAAGTTAAAATTGGCTTATAAGCCAACTTTGTTACCAAACAAACCATTTGCCTATTGTATAATATTTGGTAAATGAAACTTTAAAACTTGATAACAAACTTAAAATTAAAATGTACCTTGATAACAGTAGTGAGATTACCGATCACCATCTCCACATATTCGTGGCGAGTATATGAATTAAGGATGGTGGAATTTGTAAAAAAGGGAAAGCCGTAGTCATTGTTGCCAATGCTAAACATGTACACAGCATTGGATATGAGGGTCTTTGATTCTTTGTCCCCCAACTTCTTCTTCAATTCTTGTGCTACTTTCTTGAAATACTCAAGCTGCGTTTTCAGATCAATTACCTGCAGAATATCAATTAAAGATCAAACAACTAATTAAACAACAAATGGATTCATGCATAAGACTTGAGTATAAATATCCATAGTTCATTTCATATTATATATATGCCGTATAATTAAAAATAAATAAATTAT